TTATAAGACCCTTACTATCCTGCAGATTAGTAATTTCAGCTTATTTCTGATAATCAGTAAGATGACTGGGTGTAAAAACAGCCTGTGATGCTGTGAAAATAAGTCAGGATGCAGTTATCCCCAAAGTCCCATCCCCTACCCAATACACACCCTCACCCCAAAAACTAGGACGACCATTGTCAGATGCATGACCCTCACGGCCCGTCCTGCATGCTCACGCACATTGAAGTGCCTTGATACCCCGTTCACCTCCTTTCTGGAGGTGGCAGCGCCTGGGCTTGGAGCAAAAGCCGAGCGATGAGCCAGAAGGAGCCAAACGGTCGGCTGGAATTTCCAAACCAGAGTCCTGGGGCCTTAAATAAAATCGGAGGCTCAGTCTAAATCGGCTCAACCTCCCCCACGGTTCTCCAATCATTATCTGCCATAATTTCCTGTGTTTTTTTATTCCCTGCTCCTTTCATGTCATCAACAGCAGCGTCAGAGAGCACAGTGAGCCTTCCGATCAATGGCACAGTGTCCTGCATGTCATGAATAGCAGCTTCAGAGAGCACAGTGAGCCTTCCCATCACTGGCACAGTGTCCTGCATGTCATCACCAGCAGCGTCAGAGAGCACAGTGAGCCTTCCGATCACTGGCACAGTGTCCTGCATGTCATCACCAGCAGCGTCAGAGAGCACAGTGAGCCTTCCGATCACTGGCACAGTGACCTGCATGTCATCAACAGCAGCGTCAGAGACCACAGTGAGCCTTTCGATCACTGACACAGTGTCCTGCATGCAGAGCCATACACTGCCACTTCTTCAGGAGAAGAGAAGCCATCCCTCTGCATTTGAATTTGCTGAATCTGATCTCTCGGTGTCGCCCTCTGACACTCCCACCCCAGACCTGCCCAAAACCACCACAGCAGACAGTGAAGCACATGTATCTTAACAATTCCAGCATGAATGATGACAGCTATTTCAGAGACAGCTGGATACACAATGACACTCTCAGTGAGTGTCAGTGATTTAACCATCCATGGAAACAAAAGGGACACCACACTCTAAGAACAGGTTATCTCAGCACATAATATGCTAAATTGCAAAAAGAAATGCAATTATTTAAGCAGTAAAGCACACAGCCCATACATATTAATCATGGAGTGACACAAACATATTCTTATGTCTAAAATGAAAACTTTTAACTGAATACGAAGAAACATAGAAGTCTGATGATTTTATAAGTACAGACATCTGAGATTTTGAGGTGGCTGCCATCTCTGTCTCTTATTTTTATATCTACCTGCACATCTGTATCTCTCTATAACCAAACATAAGGCCGTATTTCTGCATTAATACAGCTTTCATGTATGAGTGTAAGTTGTTATTATAATCCTGTCTAAGCCCTTTTGTGAAATGACTCCATTTCAGGTAACAGCATAGGTGACATGGACCCGGCACACCCTAACTGCATATCTAACACTGTCCTGACACGCATGCGCTCACACGCACACGGATGAACACGCGAGTCAGCCCTGGCCGTTGACAGATGTACGGTAGATGGCTTCAGACGCCGGCTGCTTACTGAGTTTGCCAGCAGAATTGAATCACGGGAACAAGAGCGTGAGGAAAGACAAAGGACAGGATTACACGAGCCGTCCTGTTGGAAACGAATGTCAATGAAGTAGATCTCAATTACACCCCCCCCCCACACACACACACACACACACACACTTCATTGACATTGCCTGCTGCTGTGTTGTTTTTTTAAATTGGTGAGAGACGGCGAAGGATTACAGAAAGCCATTTTGTGTGTAGATATGGATAAAGTACTTATGTTCCCAGCTGCGGCAGCTGTGTTGTGTCACTAGATAACTGTTATATCCATATTTAAGCACAGAAAATATTGGGTCTAGCTAACTGCGTGGGGTGTGGAAGATGATGCATCGCAAGGATGCCACAGGGAAGCCATTGATTGCCCAGACTTTATTTTCCGATGCTTGCAAAATGCAGGAGAGCGAATTGTTCTCTCACTATTTCTTCCTAATTTCCTCCATTCTGATTTTTTTTTTTTTTCAATTTGCTTCCCCATTCCACTTCTACCTGACTTGTTTCTCTGTATCCGTGTCAGTCATCAGATGGATGAGTTGCTGTCATGTATGGGGCTGTATGAAGTGCCTTCTTTCTCAGCATAGGACTGGAAAGGGATAGTTTAGGACTGTTATAAGCAGATAGAAAGAGTCAGACATGAGGTGCAGAAGCACAGATATATCAATACCAGCATGCAGATATATGGACAGTCATAAGAGCCACAGCTAGGTATAGCATACAGGAACACATTTAGCTCTAACAACTCAAGATTTGAATGTATTTTGCAAGAATTTTTAAATATCAGATGTATGGGATGCAGATCTGTAACCTTGTGACAAATGTGTGCTTTAATCTATGACTTCCACCTGAGTCAAGCCCTAAAAATGTTCAAAGGATGTTTACATGGCCCCTGAGGTAGCCGTAAGCTGACTGACCATGTGATGATGAGGTCGTTTTTATTCCTCCCCAATGGGGAGGTTGAACAACCAATGGCAGCACGCCATACTGCCTTGTCAGATGTGAGCATGGTGCTTATTAGTCATCTCTGTGGTGTTATTTGCACTGTCATTAGCAGGACGTGATGACATCAGCAGGACGTGATGACAGCAGGAATACTTTGAAGGTCACTGTCCATCATGGAGAGCCTTGGAACTTAGCCACAGATTGTTTTTTTTCTTCTCTGTTCCTGGGAATTACGGCCTGTTTAGCTCTCGCTCTTTGCTGACTCAGAGCTCCACCAGGAGTCCTCTGGGTTTGCTACACCGCAGCACCTCACACATCTGGTCCCACATGTGGAGTCGGCTCGCACCTCAGTACGTGGCATCCCTCAGGTCAAACGAAAGGATACAAGCGAATCGTGCCAAAAATACATGTCTAAGAACATCTCAACTTAGAAGAATACAGGTATGCATGTCAATTCTGTCTATTCTGTTACTTTTCCTGAACGACAACTAAAAGACTTGTGACATTCGAAATAGGCATTAAGACCTCTTTTATATATTTGTGAAAAA